AGGAGAGAAGAACAAGACAAAAGGAGGCGGCGGAGGAGGAGGAGCAGGAAGTGGAGGACCTACTGGTAGTGTCACATGCTGCGCCTATCTGGGCATGTAACAGGTAGTGTATGTGGATGACAGAAAAAAAAAGACCGATGAAGGAGGTTGAGGAGGAGGAGAGAAGGAGAAAAATAAGTAGGTGGAGGAGTAGAGAAGAAGAAGAAGACGAGAGGAGGAGGAGGAGGGGGGGGGAGGAGAAGGACAAGACGAAAGGAGGAGGACGAGGAGGAGAGAAGAAGAAGAAGACAGGAGTAGGAGGAGCAGGAGGAGGACGAGGACCTGCCGGTAGTGTATGTGGATGACGAAAAAAAAAGACTACGATGAAGGAGGTCGAGGAGGAGGAGGAGGAGGAGGAGGAGAGCAGGAGAAGAATAAGTAGGTGGATGAGGAGGAGGAGAGGAGAAGAAGAAGAGAGGACGAGGAGGAGGAGAGAAGGACAAGAAAGGAGGAGGACGTGCCGGTAGTGTATGTGGATGACGAAAAAAAAAAAAAACGACGATGAAGGAGGTCGAAGAGGAGGAGGAGGAGGAGGAGGAGGAGAAGAAGAAGCCGATAGGAGGAAGAGGAGGAGGAGGAGGAGGAGGAGGAGGAGGAGAGGAAAGGAGGAGGGAGGAGGAGCGAAGGAGAAGAAAAAAGTAGGTGGAGGAGGAGGAGGAGGAGAAGAAGAAGACGAGAGGAGGAGGAGAAGAAGAAGACGATGAGAGGAGGAGGAGGAGGACAAGACGGGAGGAGGAGGAGGAGGAGGAGGAGGAGGAGGAAGAGGACAAGACGAAAGGAGGAGGAGGAGAGAAGAAGAAGATGAGAGGAGCAGGAGGAGGAGGAGGACCTGCCGCTACTGTATGGGGATGACGGAAGAAAGAAAAAAGGACGACGATGAAGGAGGAGGAGGAGGAGGAGAGAAGCAGAAGGCAAAAGTAGGTAAAGGAGAAGGAGAGAAGAACAAGAAGACGAGAGGAGGAGGAGGACAAGGCGAAAGGAGGAGGAGGAGGCGGAGAGAGGAAGAAGAAGACAAGAGGAGGAGGAGGAGGAAGAGGACCTGTCTGTTTTGTATGGCGATGATGGAAAAAAAAAATAGACGACGACCGAGAGAGAGAGAGTGGGAGAGAGAGAGAGAAAGAGAGAGAGAGAGAGAGAGAGAGAGAGAGAGAGAGAGAGAGAGAGAGAGAGAGAGAGAGAGAGAGAGAGAGAGAGAGGAATCCCACCCGTCAATAGGTTAACTAGCGGCGGGATTTCACCGCAGCGTGCCTATCCCGACAAGTGGCGCTTTTCAGCGCACTGATGTGGCCACGCGGCACTTCGCCTAATGAACAAGTCCAATGAAATCGGGACGAGGAGGAGGAGGAGGAGAAGGAGAAGAAAGGAGGAGGAGGGGAAGAAAGGAGAGGAGGAGGAGGAGGAGAAGGAAGGAGGAGGAGGAAGAGGAGAGAAGAAGAAGGAGGAGGAGGAGAAAGGAGGAGGAGGAAGAGGAGAGAAGAAGAAGAAAGGAGGAGGAGAAAGGAGGAGGAGGAGGAGGAGAAAGGAGGAGGAGGA